ATAGCAACAAAGAAATTAGGCTGTGAAAAGAAGCCTTCATGTGTGACTTTAAGTTACAGCGGGACTGTTATAAACCCGTTGCCAGGACACGACTAGTGAAGACTGAGAACCGACATTGCGTGTGTAACGGTGAACTGTAAAGCGTGGAAATAGCGATAGCGCTGTAGTATTGCCTACAGTCCTGAGTTGTGCGAATAAGGTGTTAATAAATCTAATCATCCAATACAAAACCCGTCTTATATATATTTGTTTAGGGCTGAAAATCTTTTATGGACTTGAAAGAAAATGACTGAGCCTAATGATTAAAAAAATATAATTACACGACTATGTCCGTCGGTAATTCTCTTAAGGGGCCCCGGTGGTTGCGTAATGTAAGGCGAGTACGATCTCGCGCAGCCCCCACACGCTAGAACTGCTAAGTTGCGCCCGAGGGCAAACCAGAGGGCGTCATCGTCAGTTAGTGACGCATACAGTTACATCATCACTAAAAAGTTACTTCAGTCTACTTCAACATACTTCCGATATTAATTTTTCCCCCCCTTGGCACTACAGCCCCAGTGGGCCTAGGCCTACCTCCATGAACTTCTCCGTTCACTTCGGTTTTTCTAGATCTTACACATTCGGTAGGACTCCTTGGGCGGGTGATCAGCTCGTCGCAAGGCCTCTACCTGTACACACACACAGAAAAACACACACAAACTTCCATGCCCTGAGTGGGATTCGAACTCACGATCCCGGTTTCCAAGCGAACGAAGACAGTACATGCCTTAGACCGCTCGGCTACCGTGACCGGTTAACTTATTGGGTTAAAACTTTTCTCACTGGGTGGCAGTGGATTAAGTGCAACTTCTGTAAATTCTGTACCTGTGTGTATATACAGTATTATGAAATTATATTATGTATTAATATACTGCATTACTTTTATTTTGTTTCAAAATAATAATTTTCTTATACTCCTATCTCCATTTTGCAGCACTGCTCCATTTCTACATCTTTACAAAAATGTTGCTTGGTAAAGGTACACCAACTTCTGCAAGGCTATTAATCTTTTTCCTGAGAATTTCAACACAACAGTTGGTTCATTGTTCCAATAAACTGCATATGGCATGTGATTTCTTAATGTCTTCCTAGAAAAGCTTTGATTACTATCATTTATTCACCAATTGCAAAAGCTCTAATTGCTCTGAGGTACATACACTGAGGTCGCATCAGATATCACATTCCTCTACAATCTCCTTCCTCATCCCAAACCATGTGTGATTTCTGTTAATAGTTTTTTTATTGCTAGTGGGGTGGGACTAAGTCCCTTGTACTGTGCCCACTTATGGCATATTTTACCAGCCCAACGATAGGTGAGGGTGATTGTGGAGCAACTGGTGGAATGAAGATTGGCGGGGGAAACCAAAGTACTCGAGAAAACCGGCCCCAGCGCCACTTTGTCCACCACAAAGCCCACTTGACCAGACCTGGGATCGAACCTGGGCCGCCGTGGTGGGAAGCCAGCGACTAACTGTTTGAGCTATGGCGCAGCCCTCTGTTAACAGTTACTCCACTATGACGACTGTGTCCATAAAATTATGAGTTCATGAATCAGTCAAAATTCTCTCTATGGTGCAAGATTCTTTACATATGTAAAGAGAATACAGAGATACTTAAAAAATCAGCAAAAATCGCCCTTACCAGAACAGGGTTCAAATGGCACTAATTCTGTTAACCATGAACTAATTTTAACAACACAGAGTGTTAACTGTTGCTGCTGCCATCTCACTACTAATACTACTACTAGCAGAGAGGATTAATCTTGATTGGTACAACCACCACATTACAATACGTGGAAAGCACATCACATCTTGAATTTAACCCTCCAACCAGCGATATTTGTATTATTACATGACATTGGATTCCCTTCATCCAAAGTTAGTCAAAAGAACAGTAGGATGGGGAATACGAGTATGTCACATAAATACAAAAACATAAGGACAGTACAACTGAAGTTTTCACACAAGAAAACACAGTGGTTACACATGAGGCTATTCAAAAACACATCCACACATCAATACTGTCAACTTATGCTATTTACACAACCTTCAAATGGATGAGTCAACACCTTCTATACAATAAGTATTCCTCAACTGAGTGGAATGAGTGTGTGTAGGTTAGGTTTTAGTGCTATTTTAAGTTGTGCTTTTTCATTCATAAGACTCTTGAGATCAGATGGTAGATTACTGAAAATTTAATCCAAACATATTGTGTGCTTTTCTGAAAGCATGAGAGGTTAGCAGTAGGTTTATGGAGACAGTCCTTGTGTCTTGCTTTAACATGTGTACATCTGCATTGGTCTGAAAATGTTCTTTATTCGTAATGAAATGTATTAATGAAAATATATATTCACACAGAAGAGTTAAGATCTCTACTCTCTTAAACAATTCTCTACAAGAATTATTGGATTTGACACTCATCGTGAGTCTAAAAATTTTCTTTTGCAACGTAAATACCTTTCTGCTATCAGATGAATTACCCCCGACAGTTATTTGATACTTCATTAAAGAGTGAAAGTAAGCAAAATAAATAGATTTGAGAGTGCCAATGTTGCTGATATGCAACACAGATATAACTGCATAACTTAGCTTTGGAACCAACTGATCGATATGGTTATAAATTTGTAAGCCAAGAACTTTTGTATTTACTGCCTCTTCAATTATTTATCATTATATCCCATGTTTAACAGATATTGTGGTGAGTTTTTGTTATAAATTTTATTACATTTGTTTTATCTAGATTCAGGGACAGCTAGTTTGCTCATTTACCCATTTACTCATTTGCTCTCATGTATGGGTTATTACTGCTCCTGCTACCCTTATTTTTGAAAATCGGTTCCCACGTTCCAGTTTCTAATAGATGCTGAAATTTAGTAATGATTTCATTATTTATTTTTCTGGTTCTCTGTTTTGAGGGTATTAAATTTAATTTGTAGTAATATTATTTACTGTATGGAATTGAGCATCATGGTCTGAGAGGCAGTTGACTATAGGAGACATACAAAAAGAGCTTAACCTTGTACTATCAAAGCTATCACTGTACCAGGCTATGAAGGCCCATAGGGTTGTGAAACGTTGAGGGTCCCACATTATCTAGATAATCGGCTCAAAGAGGGCGGTAAGGTTGTCAGCCTTACGCACCGGCCGCGCTTTACTCCCCAGGAAAATTATTTAATGAATTCCTGGCACTCATTTCTGTTAGAGACTGAGTGAACCCCAGGACCATAGTGCGGCTGGAAAGATTACGTCAATTGAAAAAATCCAATGACCTCATCGGGACTTGAACCCGCAACCTTCCAGCCTGTAACATAGCCCCTCAACCAATTACGCTACTGTGTGCCCCCTTAACCTTGTACTATCTATAAAAATATTATCAACAGCTGTATCCAAGGAATTTTGAATTCCTGTTGAAAAATTCACAGTGTGTGACAAATTGTATGTCCGTAGTAAAGAATTTAGTTGTTTCTTATTTCTACCGTCATTTAAATAGTTTATGTACAAATATTTTAAAGTTGCATCTAGTCTCCTTATAAATTCACTGACAACTCCTGAAGGAGCTCTGTACAAGCATAATATGATTAGGTTAGATGATTTAGTTACTAACTGAATTGCACAGATTTCAAAGTTCTGCTCCTTGCAGGGATGAGAAATATCAATTTTACTGAAATACTGATCTGTCCTAACAAAAATATACCCATCTCCCCTCTACAGGTCTTTTCAGCAAAAGCTGGAGCCTAATAGGTAACAGTCCATTGTAAGGTGCAGAAGCTTTTGTTCAACCATATGATGCTCACTTAAACATAATATGTGAACGTTTATGTTGTCTGTCTCAAAACAGTGTATTAATTCATCAATATTGCTTCTCAATCCACTGACATTCTGGTGAAAGATATTTATTGAGTTGGATGATTTTGTATTTTGTTTGTGAACTTCCAAGAGAGGCAGGGCTGCATTTAATATATGTATGTTAAGCACCTCTTTGCTTTTGAATTTAAGCTAAAAAAGGATATCCTTAGCAGGGGTTATAACAGGAATACAGCTTATACCTGACACATGACCATCAAAAACCCTCTCAGCAATACACTGAATATGCTTGTCCCAAGGAAACATTCTGGTGTTTCATTAAGTGTTCATACCTGGGGAATGTCTAACGAAACAGAGACTACTATTCTTTACCTCTTTTTTTTCTTCCTTTCACCTGCAGTCCTGTACAAGAGTCCTGTGAAACAAATTGTCAGGAGGGACTTATAAATATTAGAATTCATGTCAGATCATAAAGTTATTATTATATTTTACGTATATATACAACATATCTTGTACATTCACTGAATTAATGCAACAAGAGCATGAAGTCCATTACAGAAATAGCAAATTACCACAATTAGGAATGATGTTGGTTTGGCAGAGTAGAAAAGAACAGAATTTGTATGCAGACTTCCTACACCTAAGTCAAGGATGTAGATTAAGTCCTCAAATAAATACTTGTTTCCAATACAAATATAAATACACATACATACATCTCATATAATATAGTACTATACCTAAGTACACATATTCTACAATACATATGAGTTCATAAAATATGATTTCATTTTAATCAGATCAAAAATTTCAAATTAGATTCAATTAACAGCATCCACTGTAATGAAAACTGTTTGCTGGCAGACTGAGAGTTGAGGAGAAGAGAGTATTGTGTGGAAAGCACTGAAGGACTGCAGAGGGAAAAGGATGAAATTGGCCCAGACATGCAACCTCTTCCACACATCTACTGTTATATGAGAAAACAGAGCCTTCAGGTCAACTAAAATGGAAAATTGATTTACTGTACTGCATAAAACAATCGGCTTAAGTATGAGGAAGCACATTGACATTCTTTGTAGCAGATCTTGGATATTACCCATTGATTCTCATTGGAGAATGTTTGATTTATGCAATTTCACCCTCTTTGACTTTTCTTTCCAGACCACAATTGTTGCATAAATTGAGGAGTACCTGTAATTATATCAGAGAGGTATCACCATTATTAACAACATTATTTAACTGTTTCTGCAGTTGTTAAGAAGAAAGCATTTCAGGAGTTTGCTGTGAGTTTATGATTTTTCATTATATTATCATATTGGCAGTGTCTCTTCTTCTGTAGAGTATTTACCTGTTTCCTTTTTCACAATTTTTCACACCACTTTTATCTCTTTTGTTCTTTTTTATATCTGTTTATTGTTCAGCACATGTTTCACCTCTTGTCCTGCAATAAATCTTCATTGTATGGTTGATACTAAAGTGGCTATTTATGATCATGTTTTGATTCATTTGGTTATCCATTCATTATTTTCAGACACCCTATTCACTCATACTTCATGGCTGCTTATTACTTAGGTATGTTGTAAAGTTTTTAGCAGAATCAATATTTGTAAGTCTAATTTGTTTCTCATAATTACAATAATTTAAACATATTCTGTATTTTTTATAACTATAAGTTCAGCATCATCATCAGATAATCCACCTATCACTTGTTCCATCTAAATATTATCTTTCTCTCGCTGTCTGTAAAGATATCATTGGTCACAGTACTGGAGTAATTTTGAATTCTTGTGAGAAAGTCAACTAATGATGAAAGACTGGAAGAAGTTAGTAGTGACTTTAGATATTTTTTGTGGTAACATTCAGGAAAGAGACAACAGGGATGACCAAGGCATAGGTGGGTGGACAATATTAGAATGAATCTTAGAGAGATAGGATGGGATGGTATGGATTGGATAGATGTGGGTCAGGATAGGGACCAGTGGAGGGCTCTTGTGAACAACGTAATGAACCTTCGGGTTCCATAAAATGCTGGGAAATTCTTGAGTAGCTGCAGAATTGGCGGCTCCTCCAGAAGGGCTCAGCTCCATGAGTAAGTAAGTAAGTATGTAAGTAAGTAACATTCAGTAAGATAATTAGTAATTTATGTCAACACATATGACAAAGTCTGGTTTAGGTTTATTATGATAGTTAAGTCGTGTTCATATAATGATGTTTTATATCTACCTGATAATAAATTATGGATTATTTTGATAAAGATATGCACTTCTCCTTTTAACAACTCTTGTCTGCAGTAACTATCTCATGGAGTATTACTGCTTACATTAACCTGTACAATCTCTGGTGTTCTCTAGTGACGTGGATGAAACCAGCAATGCTGTAACTCCACTATGAAGAGTTTCTTCAACTGCAAATAAGAAGATGAAACTACAAAGAGCCATACTAATACATCATACACGTAGAAAATATATAAGAATAAAAATACTGACAACTGTTATAAAATATAAAAACAAAATCTGAACTGAATTGTCATTATCAAATTTCAAAACTGTTTCTACTGATATGAAAGCTTCAAGATGTCTGTTCATAGCACACCACTGACAGCATATAATAAGTTGCAGTTAATCTGTGACTACAGCAAACAGCATCATGAATCAATACAAATCTGTGAACCATTAATATTCACAGTGTTTCAAGTGGGACTTCCCAGTCATCTGAATCAATTTCTCCCTTGAAGGTCTCTTCAGGTTAATAACAACAGGATCCACAGCTTCCCTATTTTTTTTGTAGAGATTTCTGCTTCCCATCTCCCCTTCCTCAGCCTCTCTCCATGTCAGACATAATTTTCTCACAATGTCGGAGAGACCTGAAAGTTATGAAAACAGAATTGTACCACTGTCTCTACATTCTACAGCAACATTACAAAAGATTAGCACTACAATTAATTCTATGTGACAGACAATGTCTTTAGTCAACACAAAAAGACAAACATCCAAACCTGTTCCAAAAATTCCTCCGACGTCTTTTACACACTTTCCTTTCCAAACCCAATCAATGCTGCTACATCAGTATCTCTTAGTCTGGGACCAAACCAGTTCAGTGGGGTTGAAAAGGCAATAATATGGTGGTACGTGTAAAAGTCTGTACTGATGCTCTTCAATAAATTCATTAATTTTAAACCTGAGAAGGAATTTCATATAACATATGTTTAGGATTGATTAACCTAAGTTCTATGAAAACATTAAAGAGATTGCACAAACTTCAGGCATGTACTTACATAGCAACTTATGTGTAGAGAAAATTCCTTCTGTGTGGCTCAAACTGTAGATTAAACAATTTTCAAAGTCGCACATACACATTCAGTATTATACTGTGTGTGGTAAAATCAGTTGATTACGTTTTATTTTCAGATTTTCTTCTTGAAAGAAGCCATGAACATCTTCTTGAAGGAAGGAGTGAACATCTGAGATATATTCTACAAACTCAGAATTTCTTACAGGATGTCTGAGGAGCTATTTCAAGGAAATAGCAGATCCAGTCTAAAAAAACCGAGATTAACAGCACTAACCACGCAACACCCTCTATCCACTAAAGTTGGCACTTACTTCGCCAACAAGTGGCGGTTGCTCGGTAGGTATAGTTCGCTTGTGGACTACAGGCCATGGAGTTTGTTTTATGGCTCTCAGACATGACCAGCTTCTCAGCCTATCTCCACACATTGCAAGAGAGAGCAAACTGAGATAACCAGCTATAAATGTCAAAGTTTTTAGAAAATTTTCACCATTCTGGACCATGTACTACACATTTTAAAACTGCATGGTTAACACTGGAAATATATCAAAATTCCCCTTAAGATATCATGCAACATAAAAATTTACATCAAACCAAGAACTATTTTTGAGCACTGTAGGAAGTCCCAGAAGTCCCAGCCACAGCGGAGAGCTTGTCTGCTCCCACAGTGAGTAGTAAATAAGCTGTGTTAAATTTGTGAGAAATTAATTGAAATAACACACACACTGCTCTTGCTTCCATGCTAACTTATTATGGATGAATTTTGTTGTTGTTATTGTTGTCGTTGTTTGTCATGAGGCAGGAACACATTATTTATGGATATAATTATGTGAAAGATTCATGAAATCTTTCACATAATTATATCCATAAATAATGACTGCTGGTACTGACTTGGTCAACCTATTAACAATGGTCCCCAAAAACATCATATGGGATACCCTTTGAACACAGGTCTTTTAATCTGCAGGGTTGCCTAGACAAGGAATGACATATCCTACTTCCAAGACTACCAGGGTTCTACTGACACATCACACTAAATCATATCCATCAAAGCATAAAATTTGGGCTTCTAATTTAGAAGAGTTTACAAATCATTTATGCCTTCAAAATTTCTCCTCTGATATTAAAATTCATACTTGGGAAAAACTAAGAATTTTTTAACTCCACAAGTTTTCCATTTTTCAAAATTTCAGATTTCTGGTGGATTCTGGAAACTTTATTTTTTTAAAAAAGTTTCAAATTCTTGAAACATTTTTCTAAATAAATAAACGTCAAAACTTTCAAAGTACAGGATGTATTTAACCAGCTGGCAGCTTAAAATCTTTTATTTTATAAGACACACTTGAGTTCACTGAAGAATTCTGTAAACTCTACCAGTTTTTTTACATTCCAAAAATAAGAATACAACCCATATTATTACCACTTTGTGAACATCACTGGAATCCCATCAGATCACCTGGTTACATTTGGTTGTCTAGGTATGCTCTATGTGAGGATGTACAAATTTATGTCGTGAAGTTATTCATAATTGCTCACTATCAGACACATCTGTATACAGAGGTGTGCATGTCTATTATTGTCTTCCTGAGTTATCCTCTGCTGTTTGGCATGAGTATATGTCACGTGACAAGTAACTTCACACCTTATTTGATATAGCGAATTTATTACACTTGCTCTCACAATTACACAACTTACAATCTCACAATTACTGCCATCGGCAGTATCACAACTCACTATGGTGAATGCTAGATTGCAACTGACTGGTTACTCGTTACTGGCTCAATCCTCACTCAAAGTCAAAGTCACATTGCGACTGATGGTCAGTCAGTCTGTCTGTCTGTCTGTCTGTCTTGGTGTCCAGCCCCAACTGGGGCTCATGACCAGATTTTTTTTTTCTTTATATGAAAGTTACTGTCCTGTTCCAATGGGGGGCGCCCTCTCTGACAAGAGATCGGGTCTGTCATTTGTCAGTCATAGTCTGTGTTAGTAAGTCCATTGTCAGTATTTACATATACAGTAAAACTTGGTTATAGCAACATCGGTTTCTGCGACACCTTGTCTATTGCGTCAAATATTCAATGGTACGAACTAATTCCTCATAAAGCAACTGTTTTTATACCTTGCTTAGTACGACATGCACAAATGCATCAACCTCGTATGTAACGTCATTTTCATTCCCGAATTTCTCTGATATGGACATTGAACGTAATTTAGAAAGTGTGTATTGGGCAAGTAACAGGAAACAGATGAAGATAACTGATTACTGTACTCGTATCTAGGTACAGTAAGGCACAACAATTGATGTAATCTACTGTAATTTGGTGAGTAGGCCTACCTTTAATATACAGTATTAGTGCGGTGTGTATTGTCAGTGAAAAGCGCTGTAATATGTCTTTGATATTACACATTTGGGCAATTCCACGTTAATGTTACGTTAGTCTGTACTTAACTACGTATTTCACTAAAAAATGCAACATTTTAACTCGGTTTTTGGTAGATTTTTACGTGACTAACATAAGGCTACTGTGGAAGTGCCCATTTCGGTTACAACGACATTCGTTTATAACGACACTATTTTTATGTCCCTTTGATGACGTTATAACCAAGTTCTACTGTATTTACAATTTAATCTTAATTCCTATTTCTATGTACAATATATACAAGGCCTCTGTCAATCCAGGCTCAGCACAGCAGATTATGTCCTATTTCTAGTAGTATTCGCTACCACAGTAGCCTAGTCACTTGAACGGTCATATAATCCTCACTGACTAATCACTCCTGTTATGTAGCTTCCACAGTGACAACACAGAAAACAGTTACGTGATAGCTTTCACTGTTGCATGACGTCATGTTTACTGATGGCCTAGCAACCGTCGCTGCACAGGTTCCCTTGTTGCGAGACGCCGTGTTTACAAAGGCGTTGCTGGGCAACTCTGCATAGCAACCAGCGCGCTTCAGCTCAGCTTGGACAAACACCGCTTTTCTTACTGTTGCGTAACCTCATTTCTACTGTTGAGTACCTTGGCAACCGACAGTTTATCAAGGGTCTGTCTTCGTGGTAACTCGTTCCACCTCCCATTGCCCAGCAACAGTTAGACATGTCACAGTATTTTATTTCATTGGTTCTATGCAGTGAGGGCCCGAGCCTAAAGACAATGGCAAGGCCACATAACACTCCCACCCCCTTACAACAGACTAATTTCCTGAGAATTTTGTCACAATATCAACAAAATGAATGGGCCTTGCATGTATATGAGATGTACATTGCGAAAACTGTTCCATAACAAGCCAGAGTGCTCTGCTGAGCAACAGGAAACATGCCAATAATACATTACTATATTTCAAATACAACATAAATATAATGAAGAAACAAGACTACAAATAATGCCAACAAGAATAATGTAAACATATAGTGTTAACATAAACAAGTGATAACAAAAGAAGAAACTTTGGACCACATACATTCATTTCTAGATCTTCGCTGCGGATTTATTTGTGAAAAACATCACATAAATAATATAAAAAGAATTATGTAGGAAATTAAGGAAATGGGGTGTTGCATGCATGAGACAAACCAAGCCAGAAGGTTCTAACTAACTTCATGGAGCTAAGCCCTTCTTGAGAAGCTGCCAGTTATGCAGCTATTCAAGAAGTTCCCAGTATTTTATGGAACTCAAAGGTTCATTACCATGTTCACAAGTGCCCTCCATTGTGGATCCTATCCTAAGCCAGATCAATCCGGTCCATACCACCACATACTATCTCTCTAAGATCCATTTTAATATTATCCACTATCACTACAGTATACGTTTTGAGAGTTTTTCTGTGGTAGCTACTTATACTGTAGTCATCTGAGTTGTAATATGAGATGGATACTGAAGTTTTGGAGGAACATGTCTTCCATTTTCATTGCTGATGTATGCAGGTTGGGGTTCTGGCTCAGTTATATTGTCAGACTGCAAGATAGGTGGTCATGAAGACCTAAGGAAAGGGAGAAAAAAATGGAATCCTAAAGCAGACCCTACAAAGAGTTGTCTTTCCACACAATCCCAATTTTCTCCCTGAAAGAATTTCTCTGGAAAGGGCCTTCCTTTCTCATTATTCTACTTCCCACCCGCGGCAAGAAAAAAATACTTAGCGTGTCTCTTGAAAGGGCAATTTTCCATCAATTCCTCGCATTAACCCTGATTGTAATAGTTCCTTACCCCTTTCACTGGTTTTCAGTAACCACTTTACTTATAACCTGTCTTTATAACGGGGCCAATTTCTCATCATTCACACTTGTGCCCTGAAGATGGAGATAGCATGTCAGTAGCCGCCTACAAGACTACACGATGTCAAGACACAGAAGCCCATAATCTGTCACTACAATAACTTCCAAGCAGCCAACATTAACACACCACGCCCACATACAATTTCTGTCAAATACTAACCTTAAGACATCTTGAAGTTCGAAGGGATTCTCGGCGTCTCACTTTCGCCTTAAAATAAGAAAGTCCGTGAAGATAGTAGTTTTCTTTTTCACTAACACTTCCCACATATTTACTCCCTCTAACAACGTTCTTTCTAGGCGCCATTTTCATGTAGTTCTCTATGTCATCGTTAGGGAGCAGCAGGTGTGTCCTTTGAAATTAATAACAGGGTGACCAACTTCTACACCCAAGCGGCCTCCGTAGTCTAGACGTAACGTTCCCACCTCATGACTCGTGGTACGCGGGTTCAAATACCCGGCGGAAAAATTCAGGGAACAAGTCCTCCGGGAGGGACTTTAAGCTGTGTGTCCCGTGTCGTAACTTTACGGCACGTAAAAGAACCTCATATCCCCAAAGGGGATCACTGAGCCAAATTCCAGGACGTTTCCCGCCCAACAATAGTCTCTAAGGCCTCTGATAGCTGGGGGAAGCATTATAGATACCGCTAAGCAAGTGGCCGAACTCGCTTGCTCGGCGGGACTGATGGTACGCACCATTTATCGGTAGGGTATAGAGACTGGTAGAATATCATAGAGGGAAGCACAATAGATCAAACTGGTCGCGGTGCATGGGGAAACCCACCCTCTCTAAATAACTAACTAACTAACAAACTAACTTCTAAACCCAACAGCAGGTCCTTTAGTAGCACATCTAGAACGGCAGTAAGAGAATAAGTTCGATGACTCAGTGCAGTTAATATGGTCACGTGTCTGAGTGACTGTAAACGGGGGTTGGATTGACAATTGGATTTATTGACCGTTCACGGATCGCAATTACAATTAATTACAGCGCCATCGCTATTCCTCACACTTTGCAAATCATTAGTGCACATGCTAAGTCTATTCAGTCTACAATTACAAAAGATAAGTCCGTCCAATGTGACTATTTCAGCTTTCTCACTTGATGATTCACTAGCCTTACATGTTTCGATCCATTTGGATCATCTTCAGAGGCACACACAGCACAGCGGGCCAAGAAATCATAACGGACAATATTAAGAATCTCCCTAATCAAGTTACATAGGAGGCACAACATCGGCCACCTTGAAGAGAGACGACAGGGGTTATTGACACGAACCGTATGGTTTATGTATTTTAATTTTTAACAAAGTTTTTTAAAACTTTAAAACAACTTTCAATATTTCCATAACCAGAAAGGCTGCTGTGAGTGATAGATGGAACATTGTGTACTTGGACATTACATGTGTAATTGATATGACAACTGTTGTGATAGTGGTTTCTAAAAAGTGTTTGGTGCCTCTGAAGATGATCCAAATGGATCGAAACATGTAAGGCTAGTGAATCATCAAATGAGAAAACTGAAATAGTCACATTGGACGGTCTTGTCTTTTGTAATTGTAACTGTTAGTGTGACGGACAAAAATGAAACAAATCAAATTCCTCTTCAGTCTACTTTCACTAGTCGTTTGCTGATGAAAGATCTTAACTATGGAGATTCCACAGATTCTGCACCCACGTCGTAACCCGTTGGGTAATGCTCCACAACTGGCTAAACTCAAAGTCAAAATTACTTTGGCGTCAAGCCCTCTTGAAACACGACCACAGATGTTTTTCAACTGAACCATTGCGGTAATAGTCTTTCTGTAACATCCTCTCTGAAAAGAAGATTGGTTTGTCTCATGAATATGCTTGGCCTTTCGTTTGCCCTGCTTGCATTAAAAAAAATAATTAGAACTCGAAAAATGCTCTACAAATTCAACTATGGTATCCCTGATTTTCCTAACATCTGAGGAAAGGAAACTGAAACCGTTAATGTGAGAAATTTGTTCACGACCATAGGTAATGTTGATAGCATGTTGTTATTTAGATTTGGAGAGCGTTCCAGAGCTTCCGGTGTATGTGATGTAGGTTGTTAGTAGCTTTATGTATTCTACGCGTATGATATAGCACGATATAAGAATGACCAAGGTAAGGAAACAAAAGAAGAGCAAGAAGTATCGTTATGTCAACAGGAAGAAACTCAAGAGAAGAAAGTCAAAACTTCCTTCTATAAAATGGTATGTAAAATAGCTTTATGCAACAGGGACAGTATGGTTCATGATTTGGGAAAAGTTTAATTTTGATGCTTCGCCTTTATTGTAAGAGACCTCTTTTAATATTTATCCGTACTCACGCAAAAACATTCTTGATGTGTGCCAGAATTCACGTTTTTCTTACAGAATCCAAAAATATCACAAGCGGGATGCCCTTACAATAGCCGGGATTGCTCAGTTTGTATAAATACTGGGATCTTCATATCTCTTTTTCCTCAGACTTGTTTTCATAACCATGCATTTATCCAAAGTGACATCCATCCCAAATTTTCTTTCATACTATAAACATACGAAATTTAATGACTAAAGTACCATCACCCAATTTCACATACACACTACACAATTTATACAATTGATTCTAAGCAAAAGATTAGAGCCTTTATTGAAATGAAAAATTAATTATGTTTCTCAGATTTTGTGTGGCAGTGTACTAACTACCCAGATCAGACCATTTGTCACTGGATTGTATGTGAGCTAAAATACATCTAATGTGAGAATCTAACTGAACATAAATTTTCAGTAAATTGAAGTACCTCTGGCCTATCAGATCTCTGTATCATGAAATCATAGCAATGGAATATGAGATTATGAGTCCACAAGGGCTGATAGCAGCTAGTACTAATTCTTCTGGTATATGGATCTGCTAACAGTTATTATTTTTCTTAAAAATATCTTATCTCAAAAAGCTTTCTTTAAATCTGTTTACTTGCTATCAGATGTTATAATTGGATTGTGAATGTACGAATTTGAGCCCCTAATATTACTGCTTTAGGCATTTCATTTCATTTATTCACCTTCCATAAATCCTGTCGAGAGTACATTCTCATGCAGGTGTGGAGATCATCCTTGTTACAGTCACAACTAAGGATTACAGTTGTCATCCAATAGCATGCACATTTATATAAAATACTGATAAACATACACAATATAACAAATAAGTTAATTTTAGTAGTAAAAGTAATGGCAAAACTTATACAATTTGTACAGTTTTATGCAAGTCTATTAATTAAAAATTCAATCGTTAAAACATAATGTTATTAATGATTTTTGTATAACATACATTAATTATATAATAAATTGAAATAAAGACTAGTATAGAGCGATATAAATATTGTGTATATCTAGAATAAGCATCTAAAATCCAGAACACAGACTGACAATCTTGTTTTCTTTTAATTGTAAAGCAAGACAACTACTCGCACCTTAAAAAGATTTATAACCAAAATATTCAAGAAAGAATAAAATGAATGTAAATATAAAAATTGTTTTAATTGTACCTCAAAACTCTTAGTGTCACTCGATATATCCTTAATATATTGTGGTAGATTATTATAGACCTTTGTTCCTAAACAGTAAACGCCCTTTTGGTATTTACTCAAATTTACAAGAGGCTGATGGAGATTATTTTGCTGTCTGGTATTTATTCTACGAATCTCTGAATTTACTATGAATTTGTTTCTATTTTTTATCACAAAGAGCATAAGTTCCTGCATGAATCCCTCCTCCTGCGTTCCAACATAATTCTAATGATATTCTTTTGCGTTCTAAAAATGTTTATACTTTGGGGTGAGTTACCCCAAAAGGGTAAACCATAATTTATAATACAGTGATAAACCATTTTTAAGGTATTTATGGACGTGTATGGTTTAAGTGATCTTATTATGTAGCAGACTGCACTTAGTTTAGAAATGATATACTCAGTGTGGTATTTCCAGCTCATTCTGTCATCAGTGAATANTTCCTGCATGAATCCCTCCTCCTGCGTTCCAACATAATTCTAATGATATTCTTTTGCGTTCTAAAAATGTTTATACTTTGGGGTGAGTTACCCCAAAAGGGTAAACCATAATTTATAATACAGTGATAAACCATTTTTAAGGTATTTATGGACGTGTATGGTTTAAGTGATCTTATTATGTAGCAGACTGCACTTAGTTTAGAAATGATATACTCAGTGTGGTATTTCCAGCTCATTCTGTCATCAGTGAATATTCCAAGAAACTTAATCTTGGACATAGATGTAATTTGTTTTTTTATCATATACAATTTTTATTTCAGATTTAGGATTTTTATTTCTAGCTGTAAATTGAATGTAGTGGGTTTTGTTAAAATTTATAGAAAGAGTGTCTACTTTGAACCATTCATTTATACTATGAAAAGCATTGTTTATATTTACACAGAGATCATCATAGTTTGAACTTTTAACTAACAAACTAGTGNTGTCACATTCTGATGATGGAGGCGATACGTTCCTCCGAAACGTCGGTTAACACCACTTATACACGGTGCCAAATCCCAGAAGACTGCTTTCTTCAATATAGGTAGTGCCGATAAAAATATATACAAAAAATATCACTGTACCAAGTCCTTCCTCTGTCAGTTACTGAAATCCAGGGTCTCCTTGATCCAGCTGAATCCAATTTTGGATATTTTCTTGCGTGGTTTCAGTCTCTCCAACTGCCCTCAGCACAGTCTGAAAGTCCTCTTGCTCTAATCCCTCTTTCCCCTAAATGCCACTCGTCTTATAAAGTATATACTCAACTGTGAACAGAATTTTTCATTTTGCATATTTCAATCNCATGTCCTCACAAACCAGAAACACTGTTCTTCTAACCAAGTGCACTTAGATTTTGAAGATTCAGCAGGGTTCACCTTCACCCATTGCACATCTTAAATTGATCTCTCCCTGTTATTCTACCTCTTAGTAAAATGTGAATGAACTATCTGATTACTGCTAGTACAGTCTAATTCTGACTTCCAACTAGTGAAGAACATTGAATGTTTTATTTCCAAATCATGTAATATAAAGGTAAAGCTAGCACTGTAATAGGCTGCGAAGGCCCATAGGTTTGTGAGATGTCAAGGCTTACAAATTTTATCTAGAGAGTCGCCTCACAGATGGCAGTAAGGTTGTCAGCCTTATGCACCCACCACCCATTACCCTCCAGAAAGATTCCTGGTACTCATTTCTGTTAGAGGCTGAGTCGACCCCAGGGCCATAGTGCGGCTGGTAGCATAGTTGGTTGAGGCACTATGCTACAAGCCGGAAGGTCGTGGATTTGAGTTCCAATGAGGTGTTTTTTTTTTTTTTCAATTTTATATTATATATAATTTAATTTTCAGTCCACAAGTAAAGAAGGCTTGGGAACAGAGAAGAACAGTTGAGCAAAATTTAAATGACATGGGTTTGGCATATGACCCAAACAAGGCACTTAAAATACCAAGTGCAAAGGAATTACTGCAGCCAATGGAAGTCGTTGAAGAAAGTAGTGACTGTGGTGATGAGATGAGTCTCCACATAAAAGATTATGTAACCAAGGAACTGGAGAGTGAAGCCAAGGCTCCGAGAGTGAAGAACTTCAGACTGCCAAATAATCAAGTCACATGGCTCACATATCTCATGGATAAATATAAAGATGATTACAAGGTATGTCATAATTAGTAACACATTTTCAGTTAGAATATTTAAGGAATGAGCCCTGGGATGTGACAGTCTGTAGTTTTGTAGATAGCTTCCAACATTTCAGAGGAATCTGCTGGGCCCATCTCCAGGATATAAGAATAGCTCTTCTGCACTGAGGATAGAGACAGCACGTTCATCTAAACATTGGTATTGAATTGCCAAACTACATGGTGTCATCCCAGAATATTTTAATATTCATAGTTACAGGAACTTCACATTTCATATGTGTATACTTCCCCACACACTTTGGCGTTTTGGCTGAAAGTGTGCCTTCTTCCTTTGGCTGTTTCTCAAAATAATCTGCTCTGAAATGATTTATTATGATAGCATGTAAATTATGTAATATAAGAATTAATTCAAAACAGTCATGGGCATAAAAACGTTTGCACCATAAAAGATTATGGTTACCTAGAAGTCTTATCTCAGTGTTGTAACTGTACATCCCTCGCCAAAATTATTTAATTAAGGGTATGAAAAACTAATGCATTGTTTAATACCATGAGAGACGCTCCTCCGGTGAGATACCATCCTGGGACCGTTTTGTTGTAATTCAGCTATTGTCCTCCTTAGGCTAACGTCGCCTGTTTACTCCCAGCATCATAAACCCATGAACTGACCGTGTGCGAGACCGGCCAAGATGGGTCTTGGGTGCCTTGAAGACCTAAAAATGTTTAAGGGCTTCTCGAAAAATACGAATGTATGTCAGATGCCGGGCTCGACCCTTGGCTTTCTCTTTTTATGTTTCTATTTTTTTGTTTTTTTTAGGAAAACTGGGGGACTGGTAAAGAGAGGGCAGTCGGTTTTAGGGAGCGGAGGAGGACAGTAGTTGAAAGGTAGATAGAGAAAAGAGAAGTGTTTAACAGTAGGGTAGCGAGTAGGGCGGACGGAGCGGCTAGCTTGAAGGACAATGCAAATATTAACCATTGAATGAAATTTTAAATTAAAAGTGTTCTGGAGATCCCGGATTTATTAACCCCGAAGTGTGTTCCACTCCCATCTCTGAAGCACCCATATCCTGAGAAAAAGAACCCAAGCTCGAGCAAAAGTCATGGCAGCTGTACGTCGGCGGTCGGCTACAGTGTTCTGTATTATCATTCCTTAGTCTAACGTAGTGAATTCAGGTTAATCAATGTACACTTGTTTCTCCAGTGTGTATGTTGCTGATTATTATATGTGAATGGATCAGAGCACACACTTAAGTGGTGACAGTACTCTACACATACACAAATGTTTTTACATGCTTCTGTATTTTGCAGGCAATGGCAAGGGATCCTAAGAACTATTATCAAGAAACTTGGAGGCAAATTCGAAACAAAATAAAGAAGTTTAAAAATATTCCGGAGCAATATAGCAAATACATGGAATCCCATAAGAAGCAGAGTTCAGTTGAAAGTTCTTGATCGCATTTGTATTATACAGTTAATTCCTTTTCTGTTATTGTCCATCATCTATAGATATATTTCAGTCAGAAATGAATGTGTCTTGACAGTAACTCGCTACAAGGGTACACTTTGTCAGAAAGCATAATGTGTAACAATAACACAGACCTGAGATGCATTCTAAGGAACAAATTAATCAGCCCACGTCATTCATACATACATATACATTTGCGTTTCAGATTATTCACAAATGTGCACAGGCACAGAATATAAAACATGTCAACAAGCCAACAAGACATTGGAAGCATGTACATTCACAAACAAAATCACTAGCATATATAATCCATACTTGTCAAAAAAAACACATAAAATTGTTAAAAGGAAATACAGATTGCAGCAAATACACATACAATAGTTAAAAAGCAATACAAATTGCAACAAGTACACATACAATAGTTAAAAAGCAATACAAATTGCAACAAGTACACATACAATAGTTAAAAAGCAATACAAATTGCAGCAAGAATATGTGAGCACAGCCAAGGACATAGAGTTAAATGAAGTGTACACTGTCAGACACCTCTTGACAGGTCTTGACAGAAAAGCAGGAATTCCTCAACAGTATAAGAAGGGTTTTGAAGCAATACATCCTTTAGTTTCTCAATAAACTGTTTTTTGTCATGTACCAACTCAATTAAAAAATCAGGCAAACTATTAAAAACTTTTACACTCATACAATAGACCCCTTTTTGCCTCTTTGTTAGATGCGATTGAGGAACATGAAGGTTTCTAACTTGTCTTGTTGATTTACCATGAATTGTATGATTAAAAGTATAATGCCCCAGATTGTTTACCATTAGTATCATTAAAGATAAAATATATTGAGAAGCCAATGTCAAAATTTTTAATTTTTTAAAAACTGTTCTACATGATTCTCTGGGTTTCATTCCCAACATTATCCTGATGGCCCTTTTTTGTAAAAGAAAAATCTTCTTAGCCTCCCACGAGTTTCCCCAAAATACTATCCCATATCTCATAATTGAATGAAAGTATGCATGGTAAATCATCTTTAGTGTTTCAATATTGCTATACAATTTCATGTTTCTTATTGCAAAGCATGCCTTGCCCAATCTGGACAGCATCGATTCAATCTGTGACTTCCAATTCAGGGTCTTATCAATTTCAATGCCCAAGAATTTAACGTGGGTTTCCTNGATAATTACATGCATCATTTAGAAAAATGTCTAGTTCTTCTTTCTTATTTCTAATGCTTCTTATATTTTGATGATAAATTACAAGTGAAGTCCACTGCCTACTATTATCCACCTTATTCTTATTATAAATCATTCCCATAAAAAATCCTTATTTCTCGTAGTTGGGATCTTTCGTCGCCTTCTCGGAGGAGCAGTTTGTTCTGCTACTCTGGCTATCCTCTGCTCATCCACGGAATCTGTTATTCTATCCTTCTTCCATTTTAGTTTGATCGGCATTTCAGCTTGTGTTTTCCTCTGTTGTATTTCAAATTTTTCTGTCAGCAAAGTTAAAAGCTTATCTTTACCTGAATTTCTTAGGTGCATTCCATGTCTTGTAAAATCCTCTCTTGCTAGGCCTATGTGCATTGTGGAAGTATGCCCATACTTACTGGTTACATCATTCAACTTCCTATTAAAAATCTTAACCTCCTCATTGACTACTGATGTTTCCATCAAGTCATGCCTATGAGGCGCCTCCATAAATATGATATTAGTATGGCGATTTTTCAACAAATAATGATGTATAAACTTAATTCCTCTTAGGGTATTATTCTTCGCAATGTCATTTGTTCCTCCCCAATAAATAAGTATATCCTTTTCTGTTAATCCACTTATTTCTTGCTGTGCTATTCTGGTCAAAACTGCCGCTTCAGCACCAGGTATGACATACCCTGTCACTTTATATTCTTTGAGTTTCTCCTGCAATTTACTGGCACACCCTCTAGCATGGCTATCACCAATAAGCACTATTTTTCGTTTAGCACTTACTTTATCATTTACTAATTCTAATGTAGCAGGACACACTGTAGATATTGAATTACTTGATGTACTACTTTTATTCGGCTTTAGTAACGGTTGTGTTCTAGTTTGCGTAGTAATCCTAATTGGAATATTTTGGAAAGTATGTGTAGTATTCTCACTTCTCTTTCTGGTCCCGACAAATACCTCGGACCCTTTAGATCCCGAGGCTTCCAGTCCCTTGTTACCACTCTTCCTTGTTTTCAATTCATGTTCTAATTTCCCTATCAAGGCATTCATATCCTCTCTCACACGCGGACGGACGGCCATATGCCTAAATTCACATAATTCTTCCAAGTCCAAGTCAATATCTAAAATATCATCTCTGTCACCTTTCCCATTTACATTCGTTACATTGGTTGGATTCACGTGGTTTTTGAGGTTATTCAATTCAGCTCTTTCTTCATACAAAATCTTGATTACTTGTTGAGCTGACTTTAATTCCGTTACTTTCTTACGTCCACCGACTGTGCCGTTCATAACCTCTAATTCATTACTATGTATCTCTTCCTGTAGTAACTCAACTATTTTTTGAGTTGATCTGAGTTCAATTCGAGTCCTTTCCAATTCCAATTCTAGCTCTGCACAGCAAATACACGTTACTTCACTCAGTTCATCATTAGTAGTAATTAATACTGTAGCGCGGTTAATACAGCTCTCCACACAATCCGCCATATTGCCTCTCAGTTATGAGAGGGGTAATGGTGCTCATGGTGCACCCTTTGAATTGGTGGTTTCATCATTTTTAAACAGTTTACCATTTTAACGGAACTTGGTTATGAACATTATACCATTTGAGGCCACTTTGCACTTTTAATTTTCTATAATCAATGATAACAGCATGACAGATGCACAAATTTCTGATTTGGGAGTGACACTAGCAACACTTTGAATCCTGAAAAGAATTATGGCAATAGATCTTTGAAATATATTAAAAATTTCTGTCATTTTATCTTCTTCTTTTTTTTTTTTTTTGGGGGGGGNAGGTTAGAATGTCAAATATCAAAATGCTGCCTGGATGCAATCCGTATTTAGGATTGGAACCATCTATTGTGAAGCCCAGGATCCCAGGTAAATAGGACATTAACAGCACAAGATTTATAGGACTGGAAGTCTACAATAGGCTTTATGAGATCTGCCCATAACTTCAGGTTTTGTTGCAGTTTGTTACAGTATGCACACATTACAATTTACTGTGTTACTATGAAAACAACTGTAATGAGTGGCAGTGTTTTTGACTCACCCTTATTTCTGCCATAATTTTAAGTTCAAATGATGATGTCATTTTAAATGTACTGTGTAAGCCCAAATATAAGGTGACCCCATATTTTTCTTATGAAAAATTCAGAAAAAACAAATTTCTTTGACAAAACTGAATTTAGTTCTGAGGGTTATCCTCCTCATATTCATATTTATTCTTAAGGGCCCATAAGTAAGTTGACCCCTCTTTTGTAATAGTATTAAAAAACTTGCCTTATATTTGGGGTAACATATTCAAAGCACAGTGTAAACAGCTGTCAGTAATAATGTGACATTTCTCTATAGAAGTATGGAATAACTGTAAATAAAGTGTTCAACCTATAGAAAATGGTGCTCTCCAAGGATATTGGTATAATATGACAGCTCAGACATGAGATTAAAGAACTTCCTGTCTGTAGATTTGATAACTGATGTTCTACTTTGCTGAAAATTGTTCTGATAGCACTGTATTACCAAATACGAGGTGGTATTGGAAAGTTCCTGGACTGTTATTGTTGTAACTGCCTCGGGAAAGATGAGAGGGGAGGCCAAGGTCACACTTCCGAAAGCCTATTGCATCAGTCTGCCACGTGATACCGCACTATTTTTATACGAGTGCTCTTTTGACTTTGTGTTTCGCTTTGTCTGCGATGGATGGCAAAATCAAGCAATATGTCTGCATAAAGTTTTGCTTGAAGCTCTGCAAAATCCGCTACTGAAACCCATGAAATGCTCCGTGAGACTTTTAGAGAACATTCTTTAAGTCAGACAGCGGGTTTTGAACGGCATTCATGTTTCAAGGTCAGTTGAGTGTCAGTTGAAGATGATGAATGTTCAGGGCAACCAAGCAGTAGCAAAACATCAAAAAATGTTGAAAAAATTCGAGAACTCATCCATGAAGACTGTTGCTGTACAATCCGTGAGCTCAAAACACCACTGGGATCAGTTATGGAGTTTGTCAGAAGATCTTAACACTTCGCGGACCGGATGCCTAGGCCTAGGCGTTTGGGTTTTAAATGTGGCAGACCAGTCACCTAGATTTAGGCTTTTAGGACACGTTATGTTGCAGCACACTATTCCTCGCTTTGGTGGCCACGTGTCTGCAAAAGTACTGCGTAGCTGACCTTCAGAATGTTTGTTTTCAGAGTCAGCAACGTGACCACTCTCTATTCCCCTCTCACTCTAAAGAAAAGTCCCGTTGTTCAAGTGGAAGCTTCTATGTGTGAGGCAAGATATTCTCAGTGTCAACATGGCTGAGACGAAAGCAGTTCTTCTTCTCTCGGAGAAGAAGAAATCTGTGATTTGATCTCCGATGAGTTATCTGACTTGCCAACTGCTTTGTCTTCTTATAGTGAGGGCAGTGTCAGTGGCAATGACAGGGCCCCCCAAAATGTTGTGACCAGAAGAGAAGTTGAAAGTGACAGTGAGAGCTCCGATGAAAGTGCGAGTGCTAGCATTGCAGGGACAGCCACATGGGATAAAGTGGACAAAACACCCACTTTGGGAAAGTTTACTGGTGATCCAGGGGTGAAACAAATGTCATCGGACCCTACGCAAGTGTCTGAAGTAGCTGAACTGTTTTTTGGAGATAGTTTCTTTGACATGTTGTGTCAGGAGACTAACAGATACTATCTCCAACACCGTGAGGTGTACGACTGCACCTATAAGGTGTTGAAGTGAGTGGATGTCACTTCAACAGAAATGAAAAAATTTTTGGCTATGATCATTCTAATGGGGCTTACAAAGAGAGGTACTTCAAAGGATTATTGGTCAAGTGACCCATTTTTAGAAATTCCCATTTTCGGCAAACTCATGAGTTGTAAGAGATTTGAACAGATATGGTGTTTGTATTTCAATTCATTTTCGGTTTTCAAAAAGGTGAACAGAAATTCTACTTTGAAATACAAAGCATTTCTGTTGAACTTGGCAAAAGCTTGGGCTAGTGACCTCATGGTGGCGGCAGTACCTGCGTCAGACACACCTAGTGCAGCCGGGGCCATCTGTTCGCACCTGCTGGAGGCCTCATGTGGACCCCCCTGGACGACTCTAGGGTGATATGTGGAAACATACCCTCGTGAGAATTGTGAAGAGTGAACATTGCAAGAAGTACCCTTCTAGGCAGTGCCATGTGTGCGCAGTCCACAAGAAGAGTAGGACTGCGTACATATGCAGCTTCTGCGTGATGCCTCTTCACAAAGGGGAATGTTTCCAGAGATATCACACGTGCAAGCACTTCTAGGAGCTCTGGTAAGTGTTCTCCAAAAGATTTAGTTCATAAAATTAATTAGGAGATTTTATATTAATTTTTAAAGTGAACAGTGCACAAGTTAGGGTGCTAGGCTTAAAAACCGCAGTCCCCAGGGTGATCTAAATATTTAAACAACCGGTCCACAATGTGTTAACAGTTAATTTTAACATGCACCCAACTGCTGCTCCATCATAATGCGCCTGCCCACACATCCCTGAAAACTACAGAGTTCGTGACTAACTACAACATGGTTAACGTTCCCCATCCTCCCTCCTAGCTGGACTTAGCCCCATGATTTTCCTTTGTTTCCCAAACTGAAAATGAAACAAAAGGAATGAAATTTTGAAACAGCGTCTGACGTGCAAAGGAAATTGCAAGCGGTACTCTGCAGCATTAAGGAAAATGACTTCCACGGTGCTTTTGAAGTGTTGAAAAAACGATGGGATCGCTGTATACAATCCCAAGGAGATTATTTTGAAGGAGATGGCAGCCAAAATTGAGCAAGTTAAGCCAGCATTTCTTTTTTGACCTAGTCTGGGAACTTTCCCATAGAACATTGTACACTGAAATTGAGACTTGACAGTAGGACAAAAGTTTAAAGGAAAATTCATATAGAATATCTGAGATGAAATTGTGAAATCAATATGAGAAAAGGAATGCGCATGTCATGGGAACAGGTAAAGGTAAGGTTATCCTGTGTTTAATTAATTAAGCACTATGCCATGAGGACATGGGAGAGTGAAGGTATGTACAGCTCCACCACTCTTGATTTCAGCACTAGATGGAGTTGAGCAGTCAGCTTCACACACCAGCCACTTTACCCCAGGGAAAGAGGCCCTGGTATCCATTGTAGATGATGATCAATGGACCCCAGAGCCAGTCTGGATGCTGTGGAATAGATAAAAATCTCTTGCCCCTGCCAGCAATTGAACCCCAGACATCCACCCTGTATCCACAGGAACAGGAGCAATCTGTATGACATACTAAGTAACAAAACACTTTTCTGTGAAGGCTACACTTTTATTTCACCATATTTAACCACATTATGGCACAATTATTTTATATTAAAAATACAACAGTACATTTGTATTACATAAATGGGTCGAGTTAAAAAAACAGAAAGGCTTCATGGACTGTATAATAAAAGTATTATATAAACATATATATGTCTATGCTTTAAAAGGCTTACTGCTATATTGTCCAGAAAAAGAGGACAATACATAATGCTGATGTAATACTTCATTTCATGGAAGTGTTTGCTCCCACCACTCTCATCGAGCAACCCCAGAAAGCTATCAGCTGCAAAGACATATGCTGCTGCTACAGTCTGATGCAGCAGAATGCCAGTGAACCGATTGTTCAATTGGATAATTTTGTTTTCACAACAGTATAAGGTAATTTACATTTACAGATACACTTTTCAACACAAATATTTTTACAGTTCAAGTGATGGCAGAATTTGTTATAGGCATGTTCAGTTTTAATCACCGGTCACTTTTATTTATTAGAAATCTGTGGTGAAAACCAAGGGTTCATTGCCTTATATTTACTTTGTGTTAGTATCTACATACATGTCCCCACCCTAGGTTATTGTTTAACCATGAATGATTAATTAAACATCTAAACATTACATAATACAGTAATTAAATCTGGAAAAGGCTGAACAAATTTGTACTTCCCTGAAACTGTGAAAACATTAAAATATAAGTTAGTATAAGCATGCTGTCTTGGCCTGTCAAACACTGTTACCATCGGAATTATAAAATTAATAGTCATCAGCCACTATTTTCAAGTTCTGTGCCAATATCCAGGCCACATTATTATAAACCCTGAAAATCATGGATCAATCTCTAATGTTGAAGAAAGTCTTCTGGGATGTGGTGCCACACCCCAGAAGACTGCTTTCTTCATAGTCACCGCTGTGAAAACCTCAAATCTTACACAGTCTCTAATGTTGTTCAATGGTTCTGATCTGTGCTCAGAAAAGAAGGCTTCAAGAGGTTATATTATGCCCAAACTGGACTGTCAGTGTAACATTGTTCAAAGACTGTTGGTTCATAATCTTCAAATCTCAAAAACAATATCTCCCGTGATCATGTTTTCTTTCACCCAAGATTTTCTGGGCATATTTGATCCTGAAACTGTACTGAGTGACAGTGGTACATAAATGACACTTATCAGCTCTGAGATTATAAAGCTTTGAATGAGATTAGGGAATGGTTTTGTATGGTGAACTTGGAAGGACAGGCGCGGAGACAGTAGATGAAAGCAGGCAACACAAGCAGCAGTCTTTAACACACATTACAAGGTGGAACTTTGAAAAATGTTTGGAACACCATCATACAAAGGCAACATACTATTTTCATTAGGTACTTGCATCATTAGATAACATTCTTGTAGCATATTTAAAAAAAAATGGAAAACTGAAGCGCACATCACTCAACTAGTAAGCCATTAATCTGTAGCATTATTCGTATACAAACAGACTATGCTTAGATGTGATTTTTATTTGAATAAAAATGCTAAATAACACTATGATATCACTTTCTGTCATAAAGCACATACAGTTAGAAACAATGTAACTGATGTCTACTAAGTATTTAAATCACCTTTAAGTTCTGGGAAAGTAAATTCTGTAGCATCACCAACAACAATCTGGCTATCAGACTATTTCTGAAGCAGTCTGTTAGTAGATTTGTAAGTTTTAAATACAGCGTAGAGTCTTACCTGGGAAGGTGATGACTCTTCAGTTTGTCAATGCCTGTTACAAAATTCAAAAGTTCATTTGTATATAAAACCTGCTACCAAATGTCATGAGGTAGTGGTTAATACTCATGCTTTGTATTTCAGAGGTCCTTGGTTCAAATTTCAGTCCAGAGACTAGTTTTATTAACTGAGGTTTTCTTCCATCCCTCAAGGTTAATCTTGAGATAACATCTCAAATTAAGGTCACACCGACTTTTTGCCATATTCTTCCCCATTCATTATTCACTGATCATCATTCGATGACATATACTATGAGGAAATGATAGCATTCTTAAATACACCATAAATTTCGGATTTCTAGACCGGAGCCACTATTTCCTTGAAATAGCTCCTTGATTATCCTCACGAGGATGAGTGGACTCTGTTCCAGACCCATTACTTCTCAGGAAATATTGTAGCACCGGGAATCAAACCTGGACCTCTGGATCTGTAGTCAGGAACTCTGACCACTAGACCACAGAGGCAGTCTACAAAAATAATCACATTACATAATGTGTAATTTATATGTTTGGGTGACTTTCATATGCATGTTAAAGGAAAGTAAGCATTCAGTTCTTCCATAGAACTTGCTTATATAGGCAGTAACCCCCTCCCCCAGTCAGTGATACTGCTGGTATGTGTCCTCCAAATATATACAGGGTGTCCCAGGAGGAATGTGCCAAACTTCGGGAGGGTGTTCCTTATGTTAAAGTATGCCGATATAACCCAAAACACCTATGTCCAAAGTTGAACGGTTACGGAGATAATGGCCAGAGAAGTGTCAAACTTTGACCGGGGTTACACACTTGTTGATTACAAAATANAGATCTAAACCCCTGTGATTTTTATTTGTGGGGAAAACTAAAAAATGTTGTGTATGCCAACAATCCACATGACTTGGAGGCTCTAAAACAAAATATTCGGGAAGCAATTGACAACATCCAGCAACGTGAATTGCAACAAGTTTCCCAAAATCTGTTTAAAAGAATTCAGGCATGTCTCACAACAGAGGGCAGACATTTTGAACATCTTCTATGATGGTGAGTACAATATTAATTACTATATTTGATTAATAATTAGCGGAAGAAATAAATAATGTGCGCTAACAGTTCCGGCCGCGCGACAGCAATTTCCTCGGCAGGTGGCGCATCGCTTTCGCATGAAGTTGCCGACGGTAAAATCAGTGTCGAATCAGCCTCGGCTATGAACACTCTGTATAACATCTCAATGTACATTCACATATTGTGTTTTGATTTCAAATTTTCCTAATTTTGACTCTTATGAAAACTCCCATGAAAATCCTAAGTCTCAGCAATAGAAACTGCAGGGGAAAGAATTAAAAAATGATGTGCGAGTTCCTCCACCCCCCCCCCAAAAAAAATGTTATGAAATATAAAAATAACAGTGACTGGCTTCAGAACAGCCTGCCACCAGAGAAGCCGCTATCTGATGCCTACACTGTGTATGGTTCTGGGAATAATTCCAGGCATATAACATTCTATTTATCTTTACAGGAATAAAAGTAAGATTACTTTAAAGGTGTCTTAAATTTTAGAATTTATAAAAAATGACAGACAAATTTACAAAAGTGACAATATAAGAGATTCATAATCTGTAGGACAAATAAATAACATAAACATACATTTTGATGTATATATATCAGAGAGATGGATTTGGAAGGCAATTCAGTCATTTTACCTTTTATAAAATGCTGTTAATTGTTACCACTCATGACTAGGAGAACACGCTCCACTTCTGCTATGGAGGGATGCCTCGCCTGAGAGTTTGGATGGGTTTGTGTTCCTAACACTTTGACCTTGTGTTTGGATGAGGGAATACTACCAACGTCCAGGGCATCTGCTACCTCCTCTGGGGACATTGCACCTGGTCGGTCCTGAAAATATTTTACATCTGATACAACAAAATGAACAGCCCCAACATTATGGTCCTTCATAGTTGCAGTGGTTTCAAACTCTTTAACCAGACAAAGCATTTCTGAAAGTAATGAACTAAACCGACTTCCTTATAAGTCACAAAATGTTTACACATCAGGAGAAACATGTTCATGGGACTTTCTTCCTCCCTTCAACAGACATCAAATTACATCATCTCTCTAGTAACAGATAATGTGCGTTAGTCTGTATATAAGAGTAAGATTTCAGTGTAAATTTGTACTAATTAGAAACCATAAATTCTCAAAACTTACCTGCTTATTAGCTAATACTAAAATTGGAACCCCAGTAAGTCTATCATCTCCCAATAAAGTTTTAACTTCTTTAACGGCCAAGGGTAAGCTGTGAAGATCTGATGCATCCACCACAAATACCAGAAGGTCTGTATCTTGCAGAAAATTGCTCCAGTACTTCCGCACACTTTCACTACCACCAACTGGATGAAACATAATTAATCAGCATTAGGCTCTGGTCATAACAATGCTGCTTCAAACAATACTATTACACAAAACTGTTGACTCACTTTCCCAAATGTTGAGTGATATGTTTCCACTGTGTAGACATGTTACATTGAAACCTTCTGTGGGTTTCACATCCTCATTTTTGTTTGTCCCAGATGTCACTTGAGCAAGGACAGTGCTTTTCCCTGCACTCTCCAATCCAAGTACAATTATTCTCTTTTCGGGACTCTCTTCCAACTGAGAAAAATGTAAATTTGAAGAGATGGTAAGACACATGGCTATTTACATTCATGTTAAATTATGTGGCTGAAATGTTGATATGAAAAATTATGACGTACATTGCGACTACAAGGCCGTCCACTCTATAGAGAAACCAACTCAACGACAGCGAACAACCGATAATAATAATGATAATAATGCATGATGAATTATACAATATTTATGACAAGTGCAAGTTAATATAATCACAGCGGGAAAACACTTTCATGTAACCTACTTTAGAAACATCTTCGAATCCTTCATCAATACTTTTCGGGTCTCTTCTCTTCCAGTATCGAAATGCTGCATAAGCACAAGCTGATAATGCAATCCCTGATCCAAATATCACTAAAGATTTCGCGATCTTGCCACACCATGTGGCCTCCATCATACTCAGTGCGTCCTACCCGGACCTGTGTACCCTGGGTGCCCTGGGTGCTGCAAGTGGCAAAACGATGTTTTGGTCTCAAGATCCTCAAGATAAATTTTCAACTGTTTTAGTGGTGACCCTGCATCGTAATCGAATTCTACAGAAGATAATCGAGAAATTAAAACTGAAAGTAGCTGAAGCGGAACAGTTTTGAAACATTTAAATGTATTAGGCCCATATAAAATGCAGTGCCTATAAGAAGATGCCTTATGTGATAAAATATTATACATAATTTGTGCAAAGTGTTTATTTAAGGTTATGTGTCGAAGTTTCGAAGCTGCAGTATTACAAAATCATGAATTTTTCACCAGGAACGGCCACACTTCTGGAAGAACTGGATAGTGTGTAATGTTTTCTAAGCCTAATTTAGCCGAAATGTAAAACACGGACGTGTATAAGATTGAGATACCTGTAGTTATGATGGACTTGTTTAATGTTCCCAAATTGGACGTTGTTTCATTTAAATGTAGTTAAAAGTCTAGGGTAATGTTTGCAAGTTTATTTTCAGAAAAGCTTATGGTACTTCTTCGAGATGGAAGAACGTTAATTGGCTATCTCCGTAGTGTAGACCAATTTGCCAACTTAGTACTGCATCGCACGATTGAAAGAATACACGTTGGAAAGGAGTATGGAGATATACCTAGAGGAGTCTTCATTGTGCGAGGAGAAAATGTTGTATTACTAGGTGAAATTGTGAGTTCTTAGAAAATATTTAATTAAAAATTTATTTTCTGAGAGGATAGTTTGATAACTGTGTTTTCTTCATTAATGTTCATTATGGGTCAACAATTTTTCTTTCACAACCTTAAAGCTTTGTATTTGGTTTAGTTTTATCATCACATTGACCTCTCCAGTGTTTTCATTTTGATAATAAATTGTTAACACATGCCATGGATGTGGACCCAGTTACAATAATGAAAGATAAGACTGAAAAACTGGTGACACTGAAATGATCCATTGTTTCCAAAGTTGAAAATAACGGTAAGCATAATCCAGTTTCCCTGTCATAATTCTGATTAATTTGGTGTACATTGACACTAGTGAATCCTTTTGAAGTCTTTTCTGTCATTTGTCTACAGAGAGCTTGCATTTATATATTACTGGTTTATACAAGTGAGGCAGTGCTTTGTAATTTGATAGGTACTGATTTGTATGTGGAAGAATGCCATATCATTATTTCCTCCATGTATGAAAATAATCCTATAAACAGTTTTCTGTGTGATCCATCAAGATTTGAATGCTGAGAGAATAAGCATATCAAGGTAAATTAATTAAAGCATAATCAAAATTTGCTGTGTCACCAGGTAGTAGACAAAAGGAAGGAAATACTAGCTCCTACTAGTGCTTATGTTCACTTTTAATTTTTTCATCTGATTCCAATTTTCAGGATAAAGATAAAGAAGGAGACCTCCCTCTTCAGCAAGTGTCAGTGGAGGATATTTTGGATGCTCAGAGAAGAGAACAAGAAGCGAAGCAAGATCAGGAAAAGAGACTTGCAAAGGCTTTGAAAGAAAGAGGGCTTCACTACATACCAGATCTTAGCCATGATGATATGTTCTAATGCAGTAAAACTTGAACAGCCAGTCAGATGCAATTCAAATAACTAAATTGATTACTGAAACTTTTTGTTATATTTTTCTTTAGAATGTGAGACTCTTCATTTTTAGATCAGTCTCCTGTTTCAGGATGGGAGATAAAGAGGTTGATAATTTAAAGCTTTTCACAGCCATTATCTTTTAAAATGTGATTGTGTTGAGAGGAAGTGTTTCTAAAGATGATGGCATGGGAAAAGAAAAGAAGTCAAAATAATTTTTTGGTTCCTATATTGCTGTTTAAGTATTTTGTATAATTTTGTCAGAATTGTTTTGAGAATTTGTCATTTTGAATACAGCAAAAACCATCCATTCATATTTTTCATTTTTTTTTTTTCAAAACTGATGTGTTTAAACCACATTCACATTGTAAAATACTCTGTAAATTTGTTTGAAATAATGAAGTCTAGGAATATTAAAATGTCATAATGTATTTAAATAAATGGATTTGTGGTTCTGAAGTACATTTTCTTCAATCAAATAAAATGCCATTTTACAAGCTTATGTACATAAACAAAGCTTAGAAGATGTGTGTGTGTGTGTGTATATTAAGGTGATTCATGACTTACTCTATTAATTTTTGGAGCATCTGAGGCCACTGACTCTCTGAAATGTCATATAAGCATTGGTTCTATACACTGCAGTCATGGCTTTATTATCAGAATGCTAGAAAAATAAGTGAACAAGCAGAATTCACATTAACTGTTCAAAGTGAGCACTGTCAGCCCCAAATCCTCTTCCTTAATAATCTTTAAATAACACATGTAGCTTGCATTACTGTTAGGTTTGACATTCATACCAGGTGCAGCAACTGAAATGTGACAGAGTAGTGCATCTTATTTCCACTTTTTCCAAGTACACAAGATCTTTCATGTGGCCTCACAGATAAAATCTTGTGCTTAGATACAGAGATCTGTGAAGCTGATGTTGTGTACCACCATGACAAACCTATCAGCCATGGAAGTGATAATCGAGATATCCTTGCATGGTTAAAATGTCAAGGTACTCCATCACGTTGAAAATGTATACATATTTGTTTCTGAAGGTGAATATTCTAACGAGTCCAACAGTACATTCTGCAAAAGTTTTAAATAAGACAGGTTATGTTGCACCTACTAACTAGACCAGAGGTGGAGAAACCAAAGAAAACATATCTGCATTTTACAGCCACTGTGTTAGTATGAAAAAATTTATGTAGTCACTTACCTTTACAAAAGAACTGTCCGTTCTCCATTACTCACTGTTATGTGTATTATGATACTGCAAATAAAGACCCAAGAAATGGAAAAGACTGAAAAACTAGGCACTTAAATATCCACACAGATATTCCATGCTATAAAACAAAATTGGACATACTTCTCCAAAGTTTTCACAGTCCTCATCTTAGTGTAAGTTTGCTCTCCACATTACCAGCTTGGCAAATTCTCGCACATAATTGTCCAGTCTTGAACCCATCATCTCATGGAAAACATTACACTTCCAACAGATCCTGAATCAGCTCACTATGACATGAGATTCCCATATGCTTTCACCAAAGCCCCACATCTGAGAGAGCCAACATTATCCAGAAGCATCCAACATCATCTGTCCTCCAAGAAGACCTCACTGCACTAGGAGAACATTATGCCAATATGGCAATCTTTGTGAACCAGGAACAGTTCTACTGATGAATCAAAACCATCATCATAGCTTCCCTCCTTCTCTCGGCCAACATATCCATGTTAGTTTTCAAGGATGAAGTCATTGCAACTAGCCTGATGAATCCAAAATGCTGTAAATGACATATTCATCATTCGGCCACATGGACCGTTTGCCTTAAGAGACTTCCTCAACAGCTTTAACTCCTACATTTTTGTTGTTCTCTTTTTTTTCAGATGGCAACTGCACGTTATTAATATATTTGTGATGTAAATAACAGAAAACAAGGCCTAGCATGACATAAGTTGTGAAATATGCAGTTCCTTCATAGTGTAACCATGTGCTTCAGAAGTGTAGGCATAATCAGTCTGTTGGAATTGAATGAATAATTATTTTAAAATATTTCCGTGAATTTTTTTGCATAGTAATTAAATGGTTCATATCTCAAAGATATAATCATTCTTCCCACTATCTTTGGCCATAAATGTAATAACAGGGAAAAATTAAGCTAAGGCTAAGTCATCGTAATACATCCCATTGGATGATATGTGAAAGAAATGTCACTTCATAATTCAAGAAAACTCAAGTTATAGTAGTATCACTTATACAACTGGTGCAGAGGAAAAAGAACTACTGAACTTCTGGTTAAATTTTAGTTTTATTTAATTTGTGCAATGTGTTGGCAGTCATATTTAAGCATTACAGTTAACGGATGTAAAATCAATAACCAGTCTAAGGTGACAGAGCATGTTATACTGAAGAAATATGAATCTTTTGGTAATGTAATGTCAAAAACAAATGCAGTCTTTTCAAATAAAACCATATAATCCCAAGACACAGTACAGTATAAGTTAATGTGGAAGACAGAACTGAAAGAATAAAAATATAAGGTACATTAAAAACAAATATCAAACCAGTACTGGTAAAAAATACGAGTACTAGTACTGTATCTTACATGTTGGCATATGTCAGTCTAATACCTCTGAAGTTTTACTGGTTCTTTACTAGAAAATACTGGCAAGTCTTGTCAGAGGGAAGTTTCATGTATCACCTTTTTACAAAGTTGTTTTGAGTTTGACATTAAAGCTACCCTGGAAGATTTTATATCACATATCTTCCTATTGTCTTCTTCACTTGTATGAGATTGTGAATTAGTACCCATTTCTGTGGATGCCACGTGTGCTGATTGTTCCATCAGGCCATCAGAGCAACTGCCATACAGATCATTTACCTCTTCACCAGTCTCACCAGAAGTGGATAAATGGTTACCATCGAGGCAGTATAACAGAGAACTACTTAGCATTTCTCTTTCCAAAATCTTCTTCTCATTGTTGCTTTCTGATGTATCAAAGTCTCCTGTTCGACTTGAAAAGCTCAGATCCACTGGACTTGCTGTAAGTACGCTGCGATTCAGGAGATAGGACCTGAAAGTGCTTGTCAGTGAGCCACTGTCATTAGCCGTGTCCTGGCTAACTGCAGACCAGATCTCTTCAGTCTTCATATCCACATTTTCTGCGTCATCTCTCTGTGCCTGGGAACTCTTGGCATTACTGGCTAAGGTTTTCACAGCATTATTTTCCACACTGTAGCTAATATTGCAGCTACCCACTGAGCAGTCTTCCTTATTTACATTCTCAACGTCTTCTGCAACTGAGTTGCAGCTATCACCAATTCCTTCCTCGCAAAACTGTTTCTGGTTTGCTTCCAATGTGCTAATGTTTGCCAAATGACATAAGTTGGACCCTGATACCAGAACCACAGGCTTTCTGCTTCTGGGTGTCATCATCGTTTCCTGCAAGGTAAAAGAACGTGTAACCAGTAAGCTTCAGAGCAACTGAAATATGCATAAGTACAACAACAACAACAACAACAACAATAATAATAATAATAATAATATAAACTAAGCTGTAATGAGAACTCTAAGTAGTGTTAAGCAATGAGAGATGAGAGCAAATGAGCAGTGGTTTTCAACTCTTTGAATCTCCCCCCCCCACAATTTGAGCATCTGAAGTCATCATGCCCCTTTTTTCATTTATGTGAACCTCAGGAATATTTTACAATGAACATACTGAATTTGAGTTGTAACATACTGTATTACATATTTACATTAACATGCAATATGCAATTGTAGAATAAAAAAAAAGCTAATTTCTGTTGTAGAGTAAAAAACATTAATATGAAATTAGAAGTAATGACAATGTTTAAACTACAGCTTTCTTATTTGTTAATATAAGGGTTATCATTACTGAACATAGTAACTATTTCTGAGACGTTCCTGTTTTAGTGTACATAAGCACATGAGGTGAGCTGGACCGCAAATTTATTCAAAATCTGCTTATTATGCATGGCACATATAAGGCAGGTCATGTCTGCCCATCCACGTTTCAACCTAAGAATTGCTGTTTCATGAAGTAAGTTTTGAGGCAGAACTAATTTGGTATATATTTTGGTGCGTTACAAAATTGACAAATCTACTGTTTCTAACTCTTAAAGCTTCAGTTTTTTTTTAATTCGCAACAGTGGGGGGTGGAGTCCAGTTGGGTCCTCTCAGCATGGCGGCCACCAATTGGCCTATTATACTTGCCCCGGGTGATTATGATGATTGAGAATTTGGTGGAATGAAGATTGGCAGGGGAAACCCTACCCCAGCGCCACATTGTCCACCACAAATCCCACTTGACCAGAATCGGGTTTGAACCCAGGTCGCCATGGTGGGAAGCCAGCGACTAACCGCTTGAGCTATGGCATGGCCCTAAAGCTTCAGTTAGTACAGTTTCATCTGACACTACTAAAAGTAACATTTCCAAATCTACTTTCCACTTCAGATGAATGAATACAAGATGGTTTCTAGCTACAGTCAACTCTCGATTATCCGGGGGCGGATTAACCGGTTTGCGGCTTAACCGGGGCTTTTTTTTTAAGTTTATATGTTGTTTAATATTCATTCACTTTTGTTTCACATGGTGAGTTTAACACTATTTTCGCACTAGTGTGAACCGAGCTCTGCATTATTTCGTCCCGTTATGCGAACACAATGTTCTAGGGTGGGGGTGAAAGAATGCAAGAATTTTTGGAAAGTTTCAAGGACAAATACACCGCCCCAGGTTATTTAACGGTACCATCTCAGTGTGAGAGTGCATTGTGAAAGTAAGTATCAGTTTCTTAATATAGATCTTCAAGTGCGTTAGCA